GAGGAAGGGATAGAGATAGAGAGTTAGAAACATCGACGAGAGAGAAACATCGATCAGCCACCTCCTGCACATCTCCCACTGGGGATGTGCCCGCAACCCAGGCACATGCCCTTGACCGGAATCGAACCCGGGACCCCTCAGTCCGCAGGCCGACGCCCTATCCACTGAGCCAAACCGGTTTTGGCTACTAATTTTCTTTTATCTCTGACACTTTATTATAGACAAAAGGCAAATAGCAATATTAAAATATTTCTTCTAATTAATTCCCTTTTAATGTGCACAAATTTCATGCACCAGGCCACTAGTTTTCATATAAAAGGAAACTGAAGTTCAGAAGTTTAATTAACTGACCTAAGTAGAAGAAAGCTACTTAGTGGTGAGGCTGGCATTCGAACCTAGGTGTGTCTCCTGTTGAAACCCATGCCCTTTCCAATACTATCCAGCCCTGGAAATTTATAGGCACTCAAATTATGAATATAAGGTACAATACAAACATTATGAAGTTAGTCGCTCTACCAGAAAACACTAAAACGTTCAAGGGCCAGAAAAGATGAGAGTAATGTAAGATTTTCCAATACACCGGTATTTAAAAGCTTCTGTGTCCAGGACTAGTGTAAATTCTTTGCAATGGGGAAAGAAATGTCACCAAAGAGAAAGTGTGTTCAACTAACAAAGTTTTGAACCTGTAGCTCTGCCAAAGACAAAAGACATAATACTTTTAAGTAGTAAAAACTATGATCTGTTGACTAACTTGTCACACAACACATTACAGCAACAGAGAAATTTTCACCATTGGGGGAAAAAAATTAACATCTCTTATAAGCAAAGGTTTCAACACAAATAAAATCCAGGAGTAATGGCCCTAGCCGGTGTGGCTCAGTGGACAGAGTGTCAGCCTGCGGACGGAAGGGTCCCGGGTTCAATTCCAGTCAAGGGCACATGCCTGGGTTGTGGGCTCGGTCCCCAGTAGACAGCCTGCAGGAGGCAGCCAATCAATGATTGTCTCTCATCATTGATGTTTCTATCACTCTCTCCCTTCCTCTCTAAAATCAATAAAAATATATTTTAAAAAAAGAAAAAAAGAAGAAGAAATCCAGGAGAAATGTTTGGCAGAAAACTAAGTCAATTTAGAATTTTTTTTAATATATATTTTTGCCCTAGCAGGTTTGGCTCTGTGGAAAGAGCGTTGGCATGTGGACCAAAGGGTCCTGGGTTCAATTTGGGCACAAAGCTCAGATGCAGGCTCCTCCCCCGCCCAGACCCTGGTCAGGGTGCGTGTAGAGGCAACCAATCGATGTGTTTCTCTCACATGGGTGTTTCTGTCTTTCCCTCTCTCTCTAAAATCAATGGAATAATCCATGGGTGAGGATTAAAATACATTTTTTAACTGATTTCAGATAGGAAGGGAGCGGGAAAGATAAAAACATCAATGATAAGAGAAAATCATTGATTGGCTGCCTCCTGACACCCCCTACTGGGGATCGAGCCCACAACCCAGGCATGTGCCCTTTACTGGAATCAAATTAGGGACCCTTTGGTTCTCAGGGTGACACTGTCTATACCAGTGATGGAGAACCTATGATACATGTGTCAGAGGTAACACACGAACTCATTTTTTTTGGTTGATTTTTCTTTGTTAAATGGCATTTAAATATATAAAATAAATATCAAGCCCTGGCTGGTTTGGCTCAGTGGATAGAGTATCGTCCTGCAGACTGAAGGGGCCTGGGGTTGATTCCGGTCAAGGGCATGCACCTTGGTTGCAGGCACATCCCCCGT